CCCCCCCCTCAGGCAGGTGTATCGTGTTGTTTTCTTGCGTAAGCAAACTTTCTACGCCTTATGATGACAACAAAACTTAACTAAAAATACATAAGATTTATGTTTCCTATACCTTACTCTCCAATGTGGCAAGTCTTCTGCCAGACTCAATACTTTCCATGTCTCGTTCCTTCTTCAGCGAATCAACTTGTCTCTGTGAAGCTTGCATTGAGCATTTCAAATCTTCTATTTCACTTCGGAGTACTGTATCGAGAACAACAGTAAACAATGTTAGTATTTGATATACACAGGAGTATGGTCTGGCGTGTTTGTAATAAGTTCATCTTCATGTAGTAATGATTGAGATAACTAGTAATTGCTCTGAAAAACACATTTTTAACATACCAGTAAGTTCTCCCCGGGCCTCCTTCAGCTTGTCAGCAAGACCCAGGTTCTTCATGTTCAGCTCAGTCTCAGTTGCAGCATGCTTTTCCCGCTCACTGGTTAGAACCTAAAAGAAAATGAAACGAATTCGCATTTGCTGTTCAAAACTTAAAAAGGTAAGTCCAAAAAAATTGATTGTTGCATAATAAGCACAGAAAATACAACGATATGTTAGTTTTAATGAAAAAATAACCATGGCTCTATTTTTAAGGGGAACTAAAAGACATCATCGAGCGTGATTACATCGGTCAACAAATAAATGTCATAATGATGGTCGTGCTACAAGAACTTGAAAAGTACAAAAACACTATAGCTCGTATGCAGTCTGATTGGACGTTGCTACACGCTATCTGATCAAGTAACAAGGCCATCCAACCAAAAGTTATTGCACCTCGTCACATATCAATAACGTGGGGATTTACAGTTCAACCCGTAACTTGGCACAGATTCTTTCTTTATTCCTCGGTCTTGGCAGGTGGGTTGAGCAGCGTTCTCCGATAATATTGTATAAATATTAACCTCCTGGGTAAAGTTACTCACCGACGTGAGATTCTGCACTTGGTGTTCAAGTTTGTTGACGGTTTGATTCAGTCGAATTCTTGTCGCCTCTTCTGTCTGGAGCTGTTGTAACTGGACGTTATTCATTTCCTGGGAAACGTCAAGGAAAAAATAACCACTGAATTATGAGCTGGTACTACTCTTCATGCCTCAAAAAGCAAGTTTCAAATGAGTGTCCAAAATAAACCGGGAGGGTTTTGCTTCAGTTTTATCTTTGAATGGTCTCAAAAATGAAGAAGAAATAAAAAAGACTCGCGCATCCTTCACACCAATCAACTATTAATAATTTCGTTTGTTCCTCTTCTCACCTGTTGCTTTTTTAGCTCCTCCAAAAGCGATTCAGCATAAAGTTCCTCGTCATCCATCTCTTCGGAGTCAAAATTGAAGAACGGATCATCCATTTCACTGTCTGATCCAATATCGTGGAAGCTGTCTCTCCTTACCAGTCCATTTTGTGGTTTGGGTTTCTCATCAGGTGTCCCTATCACGGGAGAAGACAGCTTAGACTTTCGACCAACAGCCGGGGACCGTTTAGGAGTGCTTGCTGCGCTGCGTGGACTCAGTCGATTGGGCGTGTTTAGGATTTTCCGCGGGGAGGTAAGACTCTGAAGAAAAAATAAAGGAAAGGATAAAATGATACTAGAATCAAACATCAAGCAGAGGAATCACACAGAACTAAACTCTACGGAAAATACTAATTTATTACCAGCTGCTAAAGGTCTGCTAGTCTACAGGTCAAAGACAAACCTCATTTTAGACCTTTGCAAATTGGTTATAACCCTGAATAGCAGTTTTGAGTATCTGAATAAAGTAAAAAAAAACTTTATTTCCATTTGCTTAGCTTTACCGCGGCCCTGTTGTCTCACCTTGATTGTTTGCATGTGGATGTCATTTAATGTCGTACGCTCCACTGCTGTTTTCAGTTGATGTGCTTCCAGTGCTCTCTATGAAAAAGTCAACTAACATTCAATTCAGAATAAAAATGAAACGCAGCTAAGACCTAGAGACAATAGTTGTAAAAAATGGCTTGCTCTGAATTGTACTGTCACTCTATAATCTTGGCTTAAAACAATCGAGAGGCACCAAGGGATATCTGACTGTAGTTGGATCTTACCTCCAATTCAGAGTTGGCCTTTCTGAGTGACAAAACATCAGCTTCTAAGTCGATGCATTTTTTTCTGAAGCTCTCCTCTTGTCCTACTAGTTTTTCCTTAGTCTGTTGTAAACTTTCACGGGTTTCTGTTAGTTCCTCTCGAGTCTTGGATAAAATACAAAAAATAAAATTCAACTTCTGCCTTAATCAACATCAAACGATACTTTACTTTGACTTTACCCTACAATTAAAACGGCGTACGGCGTATGACATACAAAAAACTTGACAACAAAAAATTAATCAACTTGAAAACTGAACTGGCGTCAACATATTCAGGGAAGAAATTTGCCAACTTGAACAGAGTCACGATTTCTGCTTATCTCCATTACTCACCGATTCCATTTGAGCGTGTAATTGCGCTCTTTCGAGTTTGAACTTTTCGAGTTCGGCATTCGACGCTTCCAAGTTTAGCAAGGAGTTGGATAAACTTCTCTCAAGTTCTGTAAAATGAGTACATGAAAAGAACAAAGTCAACAATATGCAAACTACTAGAACTACCCATAGCACTTTTGAAAACGTCGCCATTACAGACACTTCGCGTCTCGAAGGCAAAGGTTCGCTGGCCGACTATTGCCTCATATAGGATTTTGTTAGGGTAAAGAGATCGCATGTATTGAAAGTCAGTTAAGAAGATGATGTCACGCTGCAAACACAGGGTGAATTCAGTTGGGATGACTGCAAGACAGTAAGACCATACGACAGTGAGACGATTCCTAGACTATCTGAGAAATGGTATGTTATTACTGACTGATAAAGTAAGACCCCATAAAGTTTTATGTAATAAACTGACCACTTCCTTGAGGTGACTGAAGCAATTCCCTCAATTGTCTCTCTAACTGCAACGTGTAGCGCTGACTTTTAGCAAGATCTTGAGTGAAATCAGTCCCATCTTCATCCCGGGTGCGTATGCACTTAAGCTCCGCTAAAAAAAAGGCAAAGCAGACGTCAAAAGTTTCGAATTTTAAAAAGAGAGTACCGCGTGCAGTACTCTCTTCTGACAAAATAGCACACCTTGGGTTTAAAGAATATGAAATGAGGTTCAAACAGTTTTCTGAAGGTAGTTCGTTACCTCTAAGCTCTAGATTTTCCATAGCGAACCTCGTGACATCTGGGTGGTGTTCAAGTTTATCTTTCATTACGGCGATTTCTTCTTTGAGAAGTTGCTAGAGTAGGAAGAAAACAAAACAGCTCTAGAGATTTTTACCAAAAAAAAACAGCAACCACTGTATTTTGCAATATCAGTGAAGGTGATACTGAAAAATCTCAAAGCTACCGGAAGTTATTAATTTTGCACATAAAAGCATGAAAAAGGGTATTATCCAATTAAGAAGGAAACTGTGTTGGCTTATAGCACAACTGCATTCCTTCCAATCCTTGGAAGCTTCATTAAATACGAACTAAAACAAAACACCATAAAACGTCCGAGGCCAAGAGCTAATTAACCATTTTGTATACATTTTGCAAACAAAACATTGATAAGTAGAGAAAATCGAGGAATGTTTCTGCCGAACTCACAATTTCTCTATCCTTATCGTCGTCTTGGCCATCAGGCCCTTCCTTATCTCGTTTTCTCAGTCTCTCCAGTCTGGAAATTGTGCTTTCTCGAAACTTTAGGATCATCTTTGTCGACTGTAGAACAAAAAAGAAATTCAAAGTTATATGTACAAAATATGCACGATACTTCCGATTATTTCAGATAATATCAATTTCTGATGAAACATAAGATCTCTATACACAGACCTGAAGGAATTTTTCCTTTTTGCTGCACAATTCCTCGAGCTTTTGCACCTTCTCAACTAAGCACTGGAAAGAGAGAGATAATGATGCATGTTTCTTTAATGCTATCCTGCTACCATAGTCAATAGGGAGCTCTTCCTCACAGATGCAAGATCGACCATAAGGCATTTAATCTAGTCTCTTTCTCCATGACAACTGGAGTTAAAATTGAATGACCAAAATTTTTTCTTAAGACGTTGCTTTGAAAGCAGTTCCCTTCATCATGTTTCACGATTTACTAATTAATGATTTACTAAAACGTCGAGCCTGTTTCAAACCTGCTTTTCCTGTTCGGCTCGATCCCTCGCCGCAGTGGCTGCCACCATCATTTCTCTCCACTCCCGGTACTGCTGATTCACATCTATTCCAGAGTTATTGTTACAGTTATTGTTATTGTTGTTTGTATCAGCAGGGACACAAGCTTCACCTCGAGAATTTTTATGATCTGCTTCAGTTGATTCTGGAAAATGAGAAATTCGGTTGAGTTAGATGCACCTACAACACATGACTCTCTGTCAAAAATTAACCGTTTTTCATTGACCTAAGCATTTCCTCTTGCTACATGGAGCAAAATTTCAAACAGACATACTAAGGACGCGGAATTTTGCTTTTAGATGCCTAACATCGTACCTTGTCTGGTGATTTGCTTTGGAATTCCAGCTAAAAGAAGGGTAAAAAAACACACGTTAAGTAAATTGGGGACAAGAATGATGCGGAGATAGTTGAAAAACTATGCCAACAAGAGAACAGGAAGCTGAAATATTTTAACAAGTTCTCAGAGACAACATCCTCAACAGTCGAATTGAGGATGAGGGAACCTATTGCCCGACGAATTACCCATGGACAAATTGCAAAATTCCTAGAGTGGTTTCTCAACTTATTCTGAACTAAGAAATTAGCGCTGTCACCTCGAGCTTTCTCCAGCTCCTCTCTAAGTCGTCTTATTTCAGCTTGAAGAGCAGTAATGCTTCCAGTAGCATCCTCATTCACCACAGCCTACAATATGAAACATCATAAGGGTCTCAATTCATGCCTTAACCACTCTGACTCAAAATAACCTGATTACTTACGGTACCACAAGATGAGATTAAACACAATACCTTGTTTTTAATCATCTTTGCTCTTTTAGCAAAGTTTAGAGTGGATAATGTTTCGCCAAAACACCTGTTACAAAGGAAAAAAAGACCACAGTTAAATTGTTGTTGACGACTCAATCCTGACAAAAATCCCTTTACACATGTAAAACAGCTTTCAAGGAGGAACCAGTCAGCAGATATCTACAGAAAGCCCTTTTATTATCACTTATATTAGGGAAAGCGGTATTTTGTCCAAAAAGAACTTACTTAGCAGATGGATGTACATTTGCAATAAGATAAGTCTTTGCATTGCCACCCAGTGAGTCCTGTGAAATAAAAATCGATTTTAGATTAATGTACCATGATACAGTAATGCTACATGCACCAGAACCCTGCAAAAGCTAAGTGTTAAAGACACTGATACAAAATCATATGTAGGTAGAAAGAAGTAGAATTAAAGTTAAGTTTTAGCGCTGTATAAGAGACAGTCCTAATATTACTTACTCTTAAAAGGAATGTTAGTTTTGAGTCTCTATAGTGAACATGTCTGGTCTTCCCGTGAGTGATATCAACCAAGGCCATGATCACATTACCAAGTGCTGACAACGACTTGTTAATACTACTTGCTTCCTGTAAAGTGAGAAAAACAAAGCTGATCAGCTACATATATACGTAAAACTGTATATGCCGATGAAAAAAAACAAATATGCCAATTACAAAATGAAGTGAATTAAGTCCAAAGAAGTCATTCCCATTGCATGGTTCAAAAATTATGCAATATCTCCAAAAATTAATCCATATAGCAAAAGCTATCACATGGTAAAAGCTATCAGAGAAAGGATATGACAGAGCTGACTAGTTCATACTTTCAACTGTGACTAATAACACCTAACTAAATGAAACTTTGACAGACTGCCACTCAAAAGCATTTATTTTGATGCTGAGGTAAACAAGTTTAGTACTTAATGGTTATAACTTTTTTGTTACCAAGTTTGTTACAGATCTATTGCAGGAAGTGAATTAAAGTTTACCTTAAGTCTGAGGCCCTCTGCATGAGTATCCTTCTGTCTTTCAGAACCTGCCAAATCCACAAGATGAAGACGGGACACTTTGATACTAGCCATACCTGCCTTACGTTCCTGAAGAGTATTAAGATAAAAGGTTATTAACACCATAAAGTACTAATGTAAAATAACATAGTTTGTTATACAAAATTGCTGAACCTTTGATTCTAAAGTCACTGTAAAAACTGCATGGCTGCGGCTACTTTCTCTGTTCATCGATGTGGAGGCTACTCTTCTGTTCAGCCAACCAGAATTCAACACCTAAGAAAGAATTATTATTTGAGTGAGTTTTGGAATGATCAAATATAAAGTTGCCAACCGTAATAAGAATGTCACCTTTCATTAATAGGAGAAACAGGTAAGGTAACAGGAGAACATTGGCCAGGCAATCAAAATTATCAACAGAATCTCACATAGTAGCAACTGAATTCTCAAATCTTTTATGTTTAAGAACAACCTGAAGTACATGGAAGTTAAGAGAAAACCTCATTTAAGGGATATCTTTATAAATGATTGACAAAAACTTATTATATCAAGTTTAACATAAGACAAATGTGCATACCCTGTAAGCATCCCTTGCACTCGCCACATCTCTTTCTAGTAACCCATCTACAAATACACCTTTCTTGATGTCCTCCCTAAGTGACAGGCCCATTGACGCAGGATCTAACAAGTCAAATATCTGTTCATTGTAGATCTCCAGGAAAGAGCAGCGACACAAGAATTCTACTCGTTCACCATACTGAAAACAAAAAAACAAAAAACAAAAAAACAAAAAACAAAAAAACCGAATACAATCAGTTTTTCAATTTTTCCTAAAAACTAAGCTTCCTTTTGACAGCTTAGGAGAAAAGTTCCTTTACATATCTTTAAAATAGTCTAGGAGGATATTATATCATTTTTTATTACAGCAAAGTGGGAGTTAATAGCACTACATGTACTTAGACAATATATCCTAAGAAGAGTTATTTTTTTCAGGCATGCACAATAATATACCTTTTCCTGTTCCCTGTTTATCAAACTGAATAGGTATTCAAATGCACGTGGTATGACACCACGGAGCTGATGAGTAAAGCTCTCTTCCTCTCCCTCAGCAGGTCCTATCACACAGAGATAGACAACAACTCAGACAAATGGGAAGTTTCTAGTGCCTTTTGCATCACACCAGAGAATGTTATTTAATCAAACATTTTTGGCAGCCAAGCCTTACCAAGCATGGTGAATGTTTTCCCTGAGCCAGTCTGGCCACTAAGGAAGGAAGCAAATCACAAACAAATTGATTAGTGAGTTGGGAACAGAATATGCATCTTAAAATGGCTGATCAACCATGAAAACATTTTTATACCTGACAGTTTATCAAATTTGAGATGGCATGCCAAATGTTATTACATATTTCATATTTACATGAAAGTAGTAAAGAGATATATGAACACAGAAGTGGTATGAAAACTGTTTTATCAAGCTATTTCAAATAAGAATAACAAGAACAACACTCAATTTCACCATAAAAGTGTCTGAAACAAAGCAAGTAACCCAGTAGGAGGTAGTGAAAGTCACTTGACCATGAGGCTTGCTTCATTGCCTAATAATTATCTTAAAACAATTTAATGAATCACAAGAATAAAGGAATACAAACTCAAAGCTGTGCATAGGTATTACATTAGCAATATATATATATTGATCAACTTACTAGGCAAAAATTGTTCCATTGTAACCTGCAACACAACCCTCTACAATCTTCTTCCCAACTGCTCCAAAGACCTCTTCCTGTTCCAAAATTACATGGATAATGACTTAAGTTTTAATAAATATAAAAAGTTGTGTCAGTTCCAAATAAACTAACATCTTTACATCCATGAAAAACTTTATGGAACTTTTTTGGATATCACAGGAAGTACATCTAATGGCAAATATATACACTTGCACTAAAACACTAAAAAATACATGATTTAAACACAGTACAAAGGTTCTGTAATTCCAATGTACTCAGTAGTAGTCAACTGGAAGAACACATTTAAGACTCCTTCTGGGATGAAAGCTTTTTAACTAGAATGGAGGATTAATGGAAACAAAAAACCTACCAGCATTTCTTTGACATAAACTATTGTCTGCAAACTTACAAAATGGTAGTTACCTGAGTTGTGTTAATATCAGCCACATGATCAAAGGAAAATGTTTTTGGGTCAGGCTTGCTCTGAAGAACAACTGTATTTCCAGATGTTACATCTAGACATGGTGTGCGATCAACATCTGTTTCAAGGTTTTTAGCTGGAGGTCTGACACGTACATACACTCGAATGTTATCACCTTCCCCACTGAAAATCAAAAAAGCCACTTTTTATACTTCTGACAAGAGTATTATTGGTGCGTTAAAATAAATAGGAAAACATTTCCACACATTTATAGATTAATATAAGGACTAAAACCAAACAAGAATATCTAAGTAAATAACAAATATGATTTTTTTACACTTATCATAATTTATACTAATAAAGTCAATCTTCATGCACAGAAGTTATTTCTGATTATCTTAAATTCATGATTTGTGTTCCTTAGGCACTATTTCACAAAAATGTTTTGGATAAAGATTTAATTTAGAGACAATCTCTATAATTTCTTACTTGAATCTGCCATGTGTATCCCTATTGTATTACAAATACTTATGGGATAATATTTAAATAGTATATACACATTAGTGATACCAATTCAACAGTTTTGCTTTAAGATTCTCACTAAAATTTCACTATTTCAGCAAAGAAGAGCAAAATACAAATTGAAAAGATTGATAACAAATGAAAGCTTGTTCCAATTCTCTGAAAGCAATGAGATAATTTAAGCTTATTTAATGAAGAATAGAAATATAATCTGATCACAGAAAATATAAACAAAAAACAAATATTAAAAATGTAGGGTTTTAAGTCTAAGCCAATTAGAGATTCCTAGGACATATGTAAGATATACAAAAAAAAACCCAAATAGTACATCACTTGGCAAAGTGCCAGTTCTCATGTAAGAATACAGCCATGTACTAAAAGCTTTAGTAAAAACTATTCTAACTTCCAAATTCTCAGCATTGCAGAAAATATCATAATAACAGATATAGTAATTAAATACAACCACACTGCAACATAAACAACTGATAAAAACCATGGAGAAAAGAGTTATCAGGAAACAACAGCAGAGGCTAGTAGTGAACTATAATATCAAAGAATGGAGAAAATAATTGCTATAAAAACTTGTTTTATACAATATTCTTTAGGAAAATTATAGCCACATCATCATGATAAAATATTCTTGGCACAAATTTAATATAGAAAGAAGTTCTGAAGTGGTAACAACTGAAACAAAAATGTCCAGAAGAACAAGAAAAGTGACTGGTGATCTTGCACTTCATCAAGGATGGATGCAATATAATATAAACAGCATAATCTTGTGATAACAAAATAGTAGAAACCTTAAACTCAAACCCTGAAAGAATATTGTTTTGATTCAACAATGTCCTCAACCACTGAATTAGCTACAACATTAGGTACAACTCACTGCTGCCTGATATTCTTATTCAAGATTACTACATAGCACTTTACCTTTGACAAAAATTACACGACGAGTGACTATGCCTCCTGCTAAACCTACATTTGTGTTCAGGAACCATAAGCATCATGTCAAAGCAGCTTAATGGTCATTTCATCCATTGTGATATTGAAAATACTACTCTCCAAAACATGACCTTGGAAAATTCAACTGCTTTCCCTACACACAGTGTTAATAACCACCAAAATTATTCATCCTCTCCTATAACGCCATGGGTTGGAATTTCTATTAGGGGCTATTCAATTCATCATCCAAAGATAGATTGCCAATAATATCCATAACAATCCATTCCCCTGCAGGGAACAGCCTCTCTTTTGTGCCTCCTACACAAAGAATATATTATTGTAATCTTTATACATGAGAGAGAATTATAAGCCAAGTTATTGAACAAATGTGGCGTGCACTTTGGAAACAATTTATCCTTCAAGAACCAACCTTTAAAACAAAATATATTTAAAAGACTTTTTGGAGAAGTTTTTGGAAAACTCTCCTTGAAGTGCTGGATTTTGTTTATGAATAATTTTCTCCAAGACAAGTGGCATGCATGGCTGAGTGCACTGATATTTGTGGAAATTGAACATACGTCAAAGGTAATCATGGATGAATGATTGAATGAATAGAACTTTGAATCTAAAATATCCGAATTGTAAAGCCAACATACTAAGGAAACACACCATGCAAGGTGCAACATGGAAATATATTCATAACTTTCCAATATATTCAAACTTTTTGAATATTTCATTCTGTTTGAAGTCGGTTGTGGAAAACCACCTTTATCACATTCACCAAAAGAAAAATCATGTCCACTTCCTTGTAAATTTGAGATATAGTGGGTATCTAAATACTGTATTTACAATCTCTCCAGATTGGAAAAAAATTCCAACTTCAACTGATAAATAAACAACAAGACTGGAAGTTAAGGGTCATCTAGCCATTAAATTCCATTAACAAATTACATTCCAGCAATTGGAATTAAGACTCAAATCCATGCAAATGCTTACAAACCAGGATGACAAGTCAATCACAATTTACCTTCTGCTCAGTTTTAAAGCAAAATTGTGTGATTCTACCTCATAAAAATACCTTCCTGTTTTAAAATATAGACTGAGGTACAATTAACATTTTAACACACTCAAAATGCATATAAGTAAAGTGAAAAACAACATAACAAGGTTAGGAAATTTGTTACCAATAAATTGTGAGGCAAGATTTGCATCTCCAAATTGTTGTTCAGCGATGCTTCTTTCTTTCCAAAATAAATGACTTTTCTATCAATACAATATGTAGAAGTTGGACAGCAGGTTGACAATTCCATTATGGACATGCATGTTGATGCTGCTGTGGTAACAGCTTGCTATTTATAACTTATCATGAAATGCTTGCCAGGGTGTGAAATTAATTTTTTTTTCCTGATAGCCACTTGGCTCCTAAATTCTTCAAAGTGGTGGCCAATTCAAAAAATTAACAGCAACTCGAAATAACATCAGGGGAGAGGCCAAATCAAATTCAATTATTGGAAAATACGGTAAAAGTTCCGCACAACTCCATACCACATTATGCATTCAGTTCTTGGATAGAGAAAACAATGACCAAAAAAATACATTGCCATTGAGAAAACAGATTTGTTTTACAATAGTATGGGGCTGTGCGAAAATTTTACCAATTAATCTTCTCTAATACTGACTAGTTTGCAAAGAAATAACCAGTAATTCCGAAACGAGAATATCGTGCTTTCAACACCAATTAACACTTTAATAAACTGTATGCACTGTACTGACACCGTTTTGAGCTTCTGGGAACAATATAGCATCAAAATATATCAGCATTATCATAAATAAACGGACATAAATAGACTGATTACAATTTAAGCTTGTTTGTTTGTACTGTTGTTACTTTTCCAAAACAAATGGACGCTAAGTATAATCTCGCCAAAGATGAGATTACGAAGAAGTTAGCCGAATGCCCATTTCCAAGTGAAAACATATGTCTACCCTAATTTTGGGGGAAAATTTCACCATAAAAGAAAGTTTTCTTTGAATAAGCAATAAACGTACAATAGAGAAAGAAGGGTAAATTCTGCGTCGTAAAGAGAGTGTACATAAGCTTAACTTGAATCGAAAAACTACAAAAAATTAGCTTAATAAAATTACGCTTATGCAGTTTCACCTTCCATATCCAAATGATATTGCCATCAAGCTTCGAATCCTTCAATCACTACGTCTATGAGGTATTATTCTATGTCAACAACCGATCGTTAAAGCCTATTATAAAGCTTTGCTTCTAGCTTCTGGGAGCATCAAAAATGTCCGTCCGCGTCACTTCACAAAGAAACTTTCAGTGTTTGTTTACTTTATCGCAACAGACGACTTGCGCAAGCACCAACGCTATGGTTTAATATATGTGCAAGCCATGTGAACGAATTAACGCTCGGAAAGGTTATAGTTGTGGTAGCTTACGTCCACGAAACCAAAATACTACTATGGAAGGGCATGATCGGCTGATGACGTTAAAAGTGCCCTCAATTATCGCACCTATCGGTTATTTTTAGCGCTAAGTACTACTCGAATGTAAGTTAAAAGTTAACGAATCGCAATAAATAGGTCTACGCCAGAGAGATAACCAACACAAGGCGATATTAACACTTACCTTTCATGTCCACTGCTCGATGATTCTGCAAATCAATCAGATAAAACTCAATTACAGCAGTTTGGCGAACTGAATTCGGAGAGAAGTACGTGACTATAAAAGATCTCGCAGCCGAGTTTGTCCCTCCTCTCACCTTTCCCTCTGCCTGGTAGATGAATTCTCATAGTAGTACAACTCTAGAATTAAACACCGAGTTCTGATTAAAAGTTCCCTTGAAATTTAAAGAAACATGCTTGAAATGTTGCTTGAAAGGAAATGATGTACTGCCGTTTCAACTAAACCGCTCTAGCAAATCAAATTTCGCGCTCGGCGCATGTCCTTCAGTTGTCACGTGACTCAAAGAGCTCGTTGAATATTTATGGTATTTATGATATCAAAATAATATTAGAAATAAAAATAATGAAATAATTTAAGTTAACCATCTAAAAAACAAAAATCCAAAACTCGAGATAAATTCGTGAACCAAGTATCACACGCGCGTGATGATAGCGCATAAAATTGTATACTCGCTCACTTTCTGCATACCCCACTGACTTGCACATTAGCAGAGTGGAAAAGTGAAACTTGAGGTTTTTAATAGAAGAAGAAATGATTAAGTTGAATCTATTAAGACGCCTGGATTTGAATGGCATAAAATTTCTGAGCGTGACTGTATTTTACTTCACGCAAGACGCAACACGAGGTGAGGAGTGTGACAGTCACTTAGTGTGAAAATTATGTGTGAACACGAATATTTTGATACCCACTTTTCGCTATCACAAGCCAAACATTAATAAATCTAAGTTTCGACGAAACAAAAAAAAGAAGAAACTTGATATCAAAAAACAAACAACATGACACTGAATGGAAACTGAATATCACAATGCAAATGATATTAAGCCAAGGTTTCTCAAAGAAAAAGAAAGAAAAACCGGAGATCGCATTAACTCTTTTAAGTGACAGCAAAGCGAGCGAACTCTTTACTTAATACAACAAACAGCGGAAGCATATGCTGTCGTTAAACGGCTTTTTGACACAAACTTTACAAAGCAAGCCACGAAAATGTCAAATGTCATGGAATTGTAGAGCGATAAACGAGTTGGTGAGACGTGTATATTTCAATAACAGCGGCTTTGAGTCAAATAAAGATTAGCCCTTTTCATAAACTGGATTAGGAACACCCTCGCTGTTGCCGCCACGACTATTAAATATATTACCCCTGAGAAGCAAAAATCAGTTTAAAACCTATACAGGCACTGTGTTTGGAAAACTGAGCAAAGTGAAGTATTTAAAGCCAATTCCCATTGGTGTTTATCATTAAGTTATATATGTAAATGAACTATTGTTTAGCTCGTATTCTTTACACATCGCTGTGAAAAGAAGTTTAGACTTGAATTAAGTGAAGGTTTCCTAATTGGTCAAGGATGCATACAAACCTAACTCATTTATGAGTTCTTTGGATAGTATTTGTTTAATCAATTTTTCTGTCACTGCAAGGTATCTTTCAAGAACAGAAAATTAGTTTCGTTGCCTTCATTTTCAAGAGAACGTGAAAACCTGCCCCGAATTCCCCGAAAAAATATTTCAAATTTCAATTAACGTCTTCCTCTACATTGAGCTACACAATAAAGAGCTAAACTCCGCATTACAAAAAATTTATGACTTTCGTCATCGGTCCTCTTCAATTCGGAAAGTAACTAGTTGTAACACGAGAAGGCCGTCATGAAATCAGTAAGCTCTGATTCTTGTTTTGGCGCATATCAAAGATTCTCATGACCGGGTCAAAGGACGCTTAATTCGTCCTCGAAGAAATGACAAAAAGTGTTAAAGAAAAAAACTGTTTTGCATTCTAATCCCTCATATACACATTGCTGCCCCCTACAGAACTACATGAGTAGAATATTGTTTTGTTTGGAAAATGTCCCTTTGATGGACGCAAACTCTGCCGCTCAACATCTCGTGATAGCAATGTGTAGTGATTTGCGTGTACATTACCGCGGGGAGCAGGAATGAAATAAACATCCAGCTTCGCACTTACTTGATTTACCAGCTGAAGTGGCTCTTACGTTTACTTCATGTAGGCCTGCACTATTGGGCAGCGTTGTCGATTCCTCTTGTCGAAGCATGAGAGCGATGTACGGCGACTTTTAAAAAGTGATACATCAAGTACATAATGCCACAGCAATCAGCGATCTTAGAATGTTATCCTGCGAGAGGCGAAAGAACACATGATCAAATTCTTACTCGGTATCACAGCACGCTAATACAAACTGTCCCATGCAAGAATCGAGCAAATAACGCATGCGCGTGTGTAGACAAACCCTATGGAAATTTTATCCCTAGCTAATTGGAAGTAATTCCTACAGTTATTGTGTGATTCTTTTCTTCTCAGTCCCTATAGAGAACCTCGTTTTTGTCAAGTAATTGTAGGTTCGCTTGGCAGTTGAAAGCGTCTTGTTTGGCAAAGTTTACCGACATTCTAAGTCTTTCGTGCCTTGTCGCTGTTCGTGATGTCAAAACAAATCTTTCAGTCTGTCAGTCAGGTTCAATTGTTTGCCTTAGTTTTGTAGCTATGCGATTTTTGATCAACAAACACGTTAGTCCTTGACTAAAACTTGAATAGCAAAGCAACGTGTGATAAAAAACGGCAGGAATGTGCACTGCATACAAAAGGACTCCTCGACAATTTATAATTGGTACTTATCGTTGAAAAAATAGCCTACTTACTTAACAGAGAACCGCCATTAGGTCTATCAACGAGTTATTCACCGCGCTTGATAACATAAACACAGATAACGCGCGCAGTAAGAGTACCGATTTTGAGAGCTCAATTGGTTCAATTTAGATTAATTCGTTAAATACGTTATTTGTCGAAGTAAGTCAAAAATAGTTCGTGGAGCAAGACTTCCTTTAATGCGTAAACCTCCAATCCATTATCACTTGGCGCATTTATTGTTACTAGTCCTTTTAATGACAGACGAGACGAGACTAGACTATCTTCTATTTCACTACTATATTGTCTAATCCAGCCCTGTAAAGCTTGGCGGTTAAGTTTAATGCCGTGACCGGTTCCGGGGATCAAATAAAAAAGTAATGACTGAATCATTGTTAGTGATCGGTGCTATGGTTTCAGGCGATGTTTTCCTCGCTGGTATAGGCTTCTTTGAATTAAGAGAAGATATTCACCATCAATATCTGACCTTGCTGTTGGCATATTCAGAAATAGTTAATTCAATTTTTTGTCGCTAGTTCAGCCCGGGTTTAAACAGGCTTCAAGGAATATCACAATGTCAGGTGGACTTATCTCGTTCCCTATCAGACGTTCTTCTTCTAACAGCTGAAACGACTTAACACCTGTTTTAGTGTTTGAGTTCCCTCATGGAGAGCGTGAAAGCCACAATGTGTTCTTCGTTGTAAAAAATAACACACAATTTGCGACCTTTTCCAGACAAAGCGTGACTTATAAAGGTTAACATATGGAAGTTTTCCATTGAGTGATAAAATTACAATCCTTACTTGTCAAGAATTCCTCTTAGACTAGACATCTCCGTTGTTTGTCAGCGGTAAAGAGTCACTTGAATTCAAGCTAGGCTGTTTACTACAGTTTCCCGTGGATCGTTACACCGGCTGAAATTTGACAAAGACCAACTCTGAGAGTTTTAAGTATTCGATAATACATTTCCGGTCCGTCTAATCGAATAGAAAGTTTTCCTTTCTGTGTTTCAATTAATTTGTCGACAAACTTCAAAAAACCGGATACAGTAATCAGAGATAAAAGCCATCTACTAAGCTCTTAGGCTTAACTTAGTTGCTGATACTTAAATAAAGGATCAGGGTATTAAAAAGTTTCCTTTTACATGATCAAAACTGGCAGGAACCAATAACTCCTTTGTTAACAATTTACAGATCAAAATCTACTTTTTCATAATAATATGCTAAAAGCGCTAAACTGAGTGATGGCGGTGAAAATTGAAATGATTCTTCTTCTAAAGAAACCTCCCGTCTCGCTGTTCACTACAATCTAGAGGCTTATCATAACGATATTGTAGTAATGCCATGTGAGAACTCACACACCTTTCTCCTAATCTGAATACAAAACACTGAAGTGGACCTTACAGTAACTTGTGTGTGAATTGAGGGCCTTGTTTACTTCTTGAAACAAAACACAAAGTCAACGAAAGTGTTTTAAAGTAAAAGCATTTTCCTTGTTTGCTTTTCATTAACAACTAATAAGTTTTGTCTTGTATAGTGGTAGAGCAATTTCGAAAATATTTGTGAGTGACTTCGCAATTCACCGCAGACGGAACTTCTAAATGCTTCATTGTTGGCAAGAAGCCCGGAGGCAAAACAAACGCTTTCCTCTGATGATCTGTGGCTTTTCGGCAAAAATATGTTGTTCTTTTCACTTATAGCCGCATTTCATTGCTTCTTTAAATACTCGAATGAAGATTATTGTTCATATTTAACTCAATTTATGCACACGGTAGAAAATATGTAACTCCTATCCTAAGAGGTTGTGATTCGAAGAAGCGAGCTAAACAAAAGGTTTTACGATGTTACCAAATCAAAATTTCAGGTTTTCTTATGGGCAACGCTGTTTTACGGCTTAAAAGAGGGAAAGCAACACAAACAATAGGACTAAATATATTTTGGAAATTGAAAAAAAAGAATATTGGGAACTTTGAGAAATACTTGAGACACCGTTTTGATTAAACCGGCTATGCCAAACCTGTTTTGTACCGAGATGTTAGGGCCAGAGAACACGTGAACTACATTATCCTATATCGGATTTGACTAAAGTCATCTGGCTTGTTGTGCAGAGGTGAATAGATTTCTCTGGGCTATGCCTAGAGGTAAATAGTACTTGCTATCATTCTATTCACCTCCGTGCCAGCCAATCCATACACATAATGGTACTCCCATGCCAAGGAGGGGATCCCTTTTGAGGGGTGTGTTTCATGACAATTCAAAGAACAGCTTACACGGAGACTTCGCAATCTGTTTTTTAATTCTACTTACATTTTAGTTGAAAATTTTCTTCGGTATAAGAGATCAACTTTGCGCAGATTGTCAGTGTTATGAGGTCTTCGATTGGTATGAACGGAATGAGCATATTACTTGAATAAGGGATTAATCAATAATCCCAGGCAAAGAAAATGAACAACATTTTTTCAATTAGCGTCATGGCTGAAAGACTGTAATGACGCTCGAAAGTATAAACACCAGTTTCATAGTTTACGTTGCTAAGAAATTCGCACGCGATGTATCAGAAGATAGGGTTGTATCAGAAAGCCAGGGCAGCGTTACGCTGGACTAAGTGAGTTAGGTTACCGCCGTTTCCCGTTTTGCTGTTCCCGCGAAGCCGGGCCGTAGATGACAAATTGGCTGGTTGCAGTTCTGTCACTTAGAACACCGCTTTTTCTACTACAACTTTGAAAACAAGTTAATTGTGTTTGCGGTCCTATGTAACATAACTTAGGTCAGAAAACGCAGGTTAGCAGATAACAAATTTAGCCCATCTTTACCGCAGACACATGTCCATGCATTGTGTAGATATCTCAATACTTTAAGCCAATAAAAGCAAGTAAAAATAAAACGACATTAGTAGTTAAAAACGCGGAAACTAAACTGGCCTGGTGGGTCTGAGGCTGGAAGAAAGGGAGGTTCAGATAACATCACTCTAGTGCACCGGAATTCAACGACGATCATTGGGCAATGTAGTACTTCAAAAAATGATATTTCCATTTTGTGTGGTATTTATTAGTTGAATACGTGAAAGAAAAAGCAGTGTTCAAACTCCATGCAATAAAAATTTCTGGCACACCCAGTCAAGGGAGTAAACCATGAGATATCGCACGCAATCCTTGCACGAAACCACGCGAGCAGAATCCCGAATTCAATAATTGGTCAAAATACTTAGCCAAACATGTCAGCCATTTTCCAAAATCCACTACAGCGGTTGTCAAAGTCAGTTATTATTTCACTAGCCCGCCAACAGTGCGCAACAGTCTTTCCCATAGATGGAGGGTTATCGAGGAACCTATTTCTAGCAAATAGGATTAACTAGGCTGCTAAGTAAACCGGGCCAGCGGCGATCCGGGAGGAAGTCGACAACTCAAGTCTCTTTTGCTGTACACGAGTTTTGTTTTCGTGTCTCTCAGTTAGGTATTCAGATCATCAGTCAACACATTTCAGCGAGCAAGACAAGACAAACTGAGAACAATTCAAGACTGGAGTGCGGAAATTCGATACAAGAAAGTTAATTGGAAATACACGCAAACAAACAAAGCCTCGGCCGAGAGTGGTTTAGTGGCACTCTAAAGAGCAACACTTTCGTAGTCAACAACAATAAGCTTAACGAAACTGGAAGGAATCTAAGAGGTGGCTTCACGTGACGAGAAGAAACCATCTCAAAAGAGTAGCTTGGGAGGCTTCTGAAACCGTGACTAGAATCAACTACATTCTGCAATAACACTTAAGTCTCATAAACTCATTAATCAACATAAATCACGGCCTCACCTTTCTAATAAGTGTCCAATGATCCTTATTTATCATTTAGCACACGACAGACACAGATCGTATCTCGGTACCACGTGGCTTTTACGATTTAAAAGGAAAAAGATGCTTAAGATCAATGTCGGTATATTTTTAATTGAAGCTTAATTAAGCACAAACGATTCATGGCAGATACATTACAACAATTGCGTTTTCTTCCCAAATTCTCTGGGTGGCTTTGTTCGTATTGAAGTTTAAAAGCTTGCATAAAATCCCATAAGAAGAAAACTGATGAGCGCAAGAGCTTAATTACAAGCATTGGGATTATAAAAGTTTTATCACTTTATAAGGTCGATTCTTGTGAGTATTGTTCCACTCGGCTGCTACTGCACGTAAACTCACTATTGACCGCCGGTTATAAACAACTCGCAGAGTTCGGAGTACCTCAACAAAAGGTCTTAATTCGATCTCCCCAGGTATTCATTTCAGAGATCTAAATAATTACAAAAATATAGATCTCAATTTCTCAAAGAAACTTTTTATAACGAATGGCATTCCATTTGTGATCAAAAAGTTTTCGATTGCACAATGTAAGAAGATTTCAGGCAGTTTGTAAAAAACTCTTGCGCAGGGAAACTTTACAAATGATAGAGTCAAACTGCTGGAAAGAAAGATTTGTTAGTTTTCCCCAAAAGCCATAACTTGTTCCACTATCGACTTGTGAATATCTCTAGGAGATTACACTACACTCACAAACTTGATCAACGAAGTTTAAGGAAACTTCAATTTAAGTTGACCGTGTCTGCTAAGGTTACTTTAGTTTTAAGTTTAGGGAAAATGAAGCTGACTTCAAAAATCTCATTTTTACTTAGATAATTTCGTTTCTAAATAGTTCTTGGTAGGTTAACTAAAAGGAGCACATAGATTTGAACAGAGCAGGGGTCTAGATACGTTTCTGGACCAATTCATCGAGTGATAATTATGTAAAATATGTAAACTCTTCACTACGACGACGACGGCTTTGAATAACACTTATAACTCAAACAACTCTGAAAGCTACAATACACAAGCCGGTGTCGAAATGAAAACTACTTAGAAAACGAAATATTTTAAGCGGAAATTTAACGTATTTTATTGTTTCGTAAACGCAGTGAGTCTAAAAAGGCTGTGTAAAGTTCAGTTCATGGCGTTATCGACAAGCCTAGTTAAGCAGAACGTTTTAAGAGAGAGCTGCTACTTCGAAATGTAACTTGACTGATAGTATAATAAATATAATGTGTCTCTTACCAGTAAAAACTCATCGAAGCTCCAAACGTATTGATATTACAGAATTACCGCTCTTCTAATACCTTCTCCAGGAACGAGAATCTCTCTCAGATAATTTTGATAACGTGATGTGACAGCAATATTACTAGCACTTCCGAGCGTAATTCATCTATGCTCAAATGATCACTCAATTATAATTAGACCAAACCTGAATGGATATCCCAGCAGCACTTTCGTTCCCGGCGTCATTACACCATTTACAGACCAAATCTGTGATTCTCTCGGTTTCAGACAAGTTTTGGTTTCAAACACCGTAAAATGTTATTTTAAACAAAACGAGTGAAGCAATCAGCTACGCAGACGGTATTGTGGTTTCTAAATGTCAATCAATTTTTTTTATTTTTCAGTCTTCACTTATTAGTTCTTAAATTCTCCAGGAGTTTCTTAGTTCAAATGAATGAAATTTCCCTTTTTCAAGGTTAATATCATCTTAATGGTTAATCAACATGATGAATGGCGACGTGATCGTGCATACCTACGCAAAAAAATATGACGTCAACGGCGCAACGTCTTCATGTGACGAAACGTCACCTTTGACCATAGAAGAACGATCCGTCACGCGCCATTCTGGGTGTGATGCCTTCGAGAGTTCGGTAAAATAATGATACAGTTTCAAAACAATGAGAAACAATACGAAGATACTTCTACTCTCTCAAGGAAAAATAGTTCAACAAACAAGCTTAGGTTTTTTTAAATCTTTTAGGTCACGGTTGGTCGGTAAAGAAAACGGAAAAAGCTATTTTTGATTTGTTGAAACAGACGTACAGGGACTGCATTGTTACTGAACTACTTTTCAAGTTATGTCGGGCTGAAAGGTATCATGGTTGACTGGTTAAGGCTCATTAGCTATTTCTAGTAATGATATGATTGTTACCGATATGGCATCTTAGACTTGGAGTCTTACTGTTATTGTTTGATGGAAGGCTGTATAGAAAATTTATGCAGAGGGCGGAGAAGTGAAGGGTAAAATTAAGCAAGTTAATTGAGCCCGCAGGTGTCAAGTGGTTATTTCTTACAACGTGTATCTTAACATGCGTGTCTTAAACACGCCATTATATAACCTGGTCTAAGTATTTAATGTACTAAAAACTTTTATACTTTGAAAGAATGACTCTCGCAAAAGTCATTACAAAGACTAAGCGTTGAAAGGAATGAGTAACTGCAGCTTGTTTTGTTCAAAACACAGTTTTCCTTAGGTCATTTTAGGAGACGTATTTGAAAAGGTTTTGAATGACGGTAACAAAGCTGATTGGTGCCATCCTTTTGAGCCAGCATTTTATCGTGACACTGAACACTTTTTAAGGTTAGACAAACAGATAAAGCAGGGAACAAGCGTGCAAAAATTTGAGCCAGCAGATTGGAATCCACCCGAATGTGTCATGAAAAATTGCTTTCAAATTCCAAATATATCTGGCAGTTTTTCTTCAATTAGAATTCGTACTAGTACACCTCAAATGGTCATACATAGAACCGCGGGCTCAGTTCTTGAATGAATTTGATTTTTTTTTAAATGGCGGTTACGCAGGCGCAACTCAAGACAGACAAGCAACAGCTTGATATGTATGGTAACACAATGGAACGAATACTAATGCAAAATTCTTATTTCTAGTTGGCACACGTTACATTTTACACGGCCAACAGTTAGAGAGATCACAAAAAAAAGACAAATCACATCTTGGCGCACTTTTTACGAGAAAGATCTTTCAAAATTTGATAACAGTTAAAATTTATTATTCATGCCGCCTTATCGCAAACATTATGAAATTCCGCCAATGTTTACAAAACAGGGAATCGAAGCTTTGTTTTGTCACAGCAAGGGCTCGCATAATGATACTTCGTGGGATGTTGTGGTGTCCTTGGCAATGAAGCGGTCAAGGCGATCTGCTGGCTGACCTTTATGACTCACTTCACCAAGGGTTTTGAGTTACCGAAGAATATTTCATTGCTGCGGCGCCGATCAAAACTCGTGAATTAAAGTATAGGGCGGGGTATAAATTTCAAACTATCTGTTCCAAACGAATCAATTTTTATGGTTAAATTATCCAAAGGCGAGATAACACTACGGAAAAAGTAAATCGGATGGTAAATTATCTTTTTGAGTTTCCTTATTCGCCGGTTATGTTTTTACAAATCTACAAATTTTGTAGGTTATCGTTCGCAAGCAGTGTTTTTTCGAAAGTCGATAGTTGGTGCACTCTGTTCTATTTTGACGAGACAGGATGTGCTGAACTTCTCTGCAATATATTGATCATAAACACATTTAAAGATTTTCTGGGCAATTCTTATCCTATTGACAAAAGACCTCTGTCTGTTGTTCCTCAAACAGTTAAAGCTTTAATCCTTGACTTTGTGAGTAAACTGTTGCAGTCCCTCAGGTTCATCTTTCCTAAATCTTTATATAATCATTGTTTTGTTGGTCTGGTCTGTAATATATGCTTGTTGCTATATGCAGATGTGATTTGTCACTTCAATGTTAACTCTTCGATGTGAATGATAAAGGCAACTCGTCACTTTTATGTTCACATTTAAATACACAATTTTAATAACTGTAACCGAGTTTTACACGGAAACTAGTGTGGACCTTTGTGGATTAACAATTAAATTTGCCTCGGCCACGTGCTCTCGATTTTACCAAATTAAACAAGACAAAAATGGGATAAATGTAAACAAAAAAACCGACAATTGGTCAGCCATAACTGCGAACGAATTGGTCGATAAACCAGTGGCGCCAAAATGCTGCTTACCTTTTCGCACAAACGGAAAATGCGTTTTCTTGCGGGCTCAATCGTTAAACAGAATTAGAGATTACGGCGAATCCCCCTCGATTTCAAATATTCACTAAAGGTTAGAATTATGTACTTTGTACGAAGTAGCCGAACACTGTTCGCTCTTAGGTGAATGTAAAAAATGATTAGAAATCATCCCACCTGCTTCTTCTGAAGCAATATTCCCGGGACGATGTCTCTTGTCTTCTATATTTATGTTTGCACTCTCTTCACTCGCGTAGAACGTCAACGGGTTGAAATTTGAGTACGACAAGGACAGAAGTACAACAATAACACACGCTTTCCGTCTGGCCCGAAGAAGAATAAACAACACAGAAATAAAGCAATCTGATTGGCTGACTCGCTAATTGTCCTCGCACCTGCTGACAACTAGCATAAATTATGCATTTAAGTCCTAGGACCTAATAACAGTAAAACGACTCCTGTCGTGTCAAAACCTCTAATTTCGGCGCGTTCAACGTCTGATAATCAGCAGATTGCCTTCCTCTTCAAATCGTAGTTTGTACTCATCACCAAAGCAACATTTTTAGAAAAAGTTACTTCATTAGATTAGTGACGATTCAATTTGTATTGCTAATTAATCCTATTATCCGCGGCTTAAATCCTCTTCACTTCATTGACTTTCCTCACAGATATCCATGTCTAAAGCTCCTGGACTGACGGGGTTGCAAAGAAAGGGCAACATCTTCAAAAGATGCTTATGATAAAATTTGATCAAAATCAGTTCTCACGCAAACTCGGATATTTTTGCTGAAACACAGACCGAATACTGTAAATTCAGCGAAGACCTGTTTATTCGAACCTTACGCGAGTCATTATTCAATACAGTTACACCACGATTGGTATGTAAATTTGTATGTAATTATTAAACGTTTCCACGTGTAAGCGTCTCCATGTTTGTCTCCACAATGCAGCAAGGGATTCTGGGAATCACTAAACAATGGGGCTCTCTGAGATACCTATCTTGTGGGACATGAAACCAGGGTCGCTTGTAAGGCATGTCTACCTCGTCTATCCTACATAGTTTCGTCTTTCTTCTCTGAGTTTTCACCTCGCTTAAGTCGTAGTACTCCACTTACCAACCACACAACTGCTATAGGTAATCTAATCAAAGGAAGCCAATAGAACCTCCATGTTGTTTACATAAAAGTTTTTCTCGGGTCTGTTGGCCTTCAGTTGCTGTTGTTTTGAACAGTGGGAACTCTCCTCAGTAGGCAAAGTTGAATTTAATTCTCATGTTTCTTTACTAAGTTTCTCCTTTGCAAACTAATGAGGAGTTTATTTTTTAAAAAAAGAAAAACTGAATACTGATTTATTCTATAGTTTAGAAGCATTATAGCACAACGCTGCTTTAGTTGCTAAGAGAGAACCTTTCTCTGAGAAGAATGTATGGACGGTATTTAAATGAGATTTTCCGCTATTGAGGTCGTCATTAAAAAAAACCTAACTCGTTGGAAGCTAATCAACTAAAACACTAGTCGACAATTCGGATTTTGGAGAAACGATGAGCGTCAAAATTCTGCGTTTGTGCTACAATAACATCAAAAGGAAAAGAAAGCAAGTTCTGTCGACTTTATTCTTCTTTCTGTCATTTACAGTTTGTTTTTACATTGCTTTTCAACAGCCGAGGAAGTCCTTCATTTTTATTGATGATGTCAATCGCTCTTCGGAAGAGTTGATAACAACATCATTTTTTGAACCGAAGCAAGGAAAGGGTTTGCTCAGCGCTCAAGGCTACCAGCAAGAAACCTTTACTAAGGAAAAGGATATTTTTATTGATGATATAAAGAGCGTTAAAAATTTAACTGGTTTGCTATCACACGGAGACAGTGATTTCGTAGCCAATAATATTAACTATCCTTCAGGTGAACCTCCTCCATTCCGCGCAGAAAACCAACCGGGCCAAGATGGAAACAAAACGTTCTTATTACGAGGACATTTAAATCTCCATATTTGGGATGATGTGTGTCACTTCCAAGTGGAAAGTTTGCGTGAATTTATCCTATTCCCACATGCTCCATCGAAACGAAGGTTGTTGACTTCCTCTTCTTCGTACGGTGAAAACTTAAAAAACTTTGGGGAACGAATGTTTGGCTTTATTTCACCATCTATTAGCGGTAAGTATTACTTCGCCATTTCTTCGAGTGGAAATTCGGAACTGTGGTTGAGCTCCGATGATTCTTCGGCAAATCTTCGGAAAATTGCTTTTCTCGGTTCTCGTGAAAATCCTGGTCAAGGACAACCTGGAAATTATTCCCAAAACGCGACACAAGTTTCTACAGCTTTCTACTTGACAAAAAATAGGAAATATCTTATCAACGTACTTCACAAACATCATTCTGGCAGAGTTCATCTGTTGGTGACTTGGAGATTAGAGGGTGACACGGTACTCGGTATTGTGACCAGTGAATATCTGTGGGCTGCTATGAATGACAGTCACGTGCCTGATAACGCTGTTGGATTGTCTGATTACCAAGAAGGGTCACAACAATCACGTGACTTCATTCTACCTTTTGTTATTTGGGAAGATATGAAGGCTGTGTTGCCTGAGTGTTTGTATGAACCAAGTTATTTGGTCAAACATAAACTGATTCGATTCCAGGTGAGTTATAAACAACAAATGGCCTACAAAATAGTGAAGCCTTGACACAATCACAATTTCCTGAAAATATGTCCTTGGCAACTTATCTAGACCAGCAAACGTTGTTCTTACTTGTTCAAGTGGCCGACAACAATGTCAGGTTTTGCAAAAAGCTCCACTGCTGAGGAAAAAATCGAGAGAAACCTTTTCTCGAAAGAGCATACATAGAACCAGCTTAAAAAGTTCAAGTCAGATTTTAAAAATATTAGGTACGATGTGTTTTTGTTTTTTTCCTTACAGGGTGCTCGAAATAAAAGTAACACACATTTTGCTTCAGTTTATCCTCCGGATACCACTAATAACTCTCTCGCATTAATGGAAAATGAAGATATCTGGTGGCAGGAAAATGCAGCTGGCAATCTTCTAACAAATCCGAACAAGGCTCAGGGTGTGGCCCATATGTTCATGGATGCTTTAGAAGGAAAATATCCTCAGTAAGTCAAAGTTGCAGTATATGGGCTCAAGCTCATAAGCTTTAAATGCTGAGTACCTCTAAGGGTTTGCGATGATAAAATATGTTCTTATAGTAGCTATGTCATCATAGCAAGCTTAAAGAAAAGTTTTCTGTTGTTAAATATTTGCTTAACTTTCCTGCGCCGCTTTTCAGTTTAATGGATTGAATAGTAAGGTTATTGGCTAATATTGTTATTGTTGAGTGAATTCAGCATCTAAAGGCTAAACTGCCAGTTTCCAATATAAAAAAGAAAGTAGTGTCCAAGTCATTTATTAGCTTCCAAAAAGATCCCTTAATGACACGCATTGAAGATCTTTATTTGTTTAACAACTTCTCGTATTCTGAATGAGCATGTCAATTTTATGCTAATCCCTCAAAGACTACCACTTACACAGCTTGCGTGTCATAATCAGCTAAGAAAGCATTTTGTCTTCTAGTCAGGCCTTACTAAAGGCTTGTGTATATAACATTATCTTCTTATAGGCATTACGCATTTCAGGAAATAGTTTCAGTTGAGCACGTACTCGACCCTCAGAAAGGCGATCGCTTCCTTCTAGAATTACGCTTAACAGATAAACAAAATCGGGGGAGCGTGCTGTTCTCCGAATACGTGTACAAGCCCCTTGAAGGAGACAGTTTGTGTTATCCTGCAGGATTCCGCTGGAAGAAAAATGCTATTGTGAATGTTATAGTTCCTGTGAGAAAATCTGGTCGCTGGGCACTTTATTTTATAAAGAACATTGCAGGTATTTTTAGACTAAGGCTATATCAGCATACCTTTATAAACATCCGGCGTAGGATGTCGGGTAATGAGGGAGGCAGTGTTCCTGAAAGGCTAGGAACTATGGTCTACTTTATGCGATCTGTTGCTGTATAGAGGTGCTGAAAAAGGTGAACTTATCTAACACGTTATTGAGTGAAATTATTGAAAAGAGTGCAGATCAAAATGAGCGTACTGCGCCGCGCACTGGATCTTTCGCTTCCTTTTGGCCTGAGCCCGTGTACTTTTTTACTTAAATTTCATCATCATAGTCATGGAGCTTGTAAGTAATTCTCTCTTGTTTTAACTCATTCAGTCCCAGCACATGTAATGGTTAAGAGTTACAAAAATGTTTTAGTAAATTTAGTCAGCCCCAGCCAATCAATGTCAATCGCGTTTTTCGGTAAAATATGAGCTTCTTGTTCTGACTCTAAAAAAAAGACGGGAAAAGTTTTATTGTAGAATCTTTTTTGTGATTTTCTCTTGCGCGCTAGTATATTGCATTTCAGGCTATTTAAGTTAAGACAAGGTTTTCGCATTTTTCAAAACTTAGTCAGTGGTCATGTGGTACAATACTTATTTACTGCAGGAGTGGGAGGACGGAACGGAAAAAATAAACAATACAATACAATACTTTATTGACAACTTTCCATGGAGGTTTTTCAGTGACAAAGTTTTGGCTCTCTCTCTCTCTCTCTCTCTCTCTCATTCATATTTTCTCGTGCGGCCCCCCCCCCCTCCCACTCAGTCAGTAGGTACATATTCTTCCCTTATTACTGTTTACAGAAGTAGTTCGTCAAACTCAGGACTTCAACATACACGTCATCATCGTTGACTATGAGAGCAAGGACATCGACATAGAAGCCGTGCTAAAAAGGAGTTCTATTCAGTGGTACTCGCTGGTGAAAATATCTGGGGACCAGGACTTCCAGAGAGCCTTGGCCCTTCAGCGTGGAGCTGAAGCTGTAAAGGATCCTCATAGCATACTCTTCATGTGCGACCTTCACTTAAAGATCCCTTCACATCTGATTACCACCATCCGCAAGGTACATTGGTTTTAGAGAGTTGCCTAATGGGAATCAGTGAGATTTTACAACTTAACTTCGATTGCTCGTAGTCAAACACTTAACATCAGTATTACTTAATTTTTTAGCACTGCGTAGAAGGGAAAATGGCTTTCGCACCAGTAGTGAAAAGACTTCGTTGTGGTTACTATCCTGCGCTTCCATTTGGTTACTGGGAAACACTTGGATTTGGTCTGCTTGCAATTTATAAGTCTGACTTTGATCACGTGGGAGGAATGAACGTACAGGAGTTTACTGGATGGGGAGGAGAGGACTGGGAACTACTGGACAGGATCCTTATGTCCGGGATAGAGGTGGAGCGACTCAAAATCCCGCATTTCTATCATTTTTACCATCCATCTGTTGGTGGCAATCAAAGGGTAGGAGCGTGAAAAGTCTTCTAAGAAAGGTCACTCGCTTAGGTGCTTGCTGAGCGACAAATACTCAGATTTCTCCATTTTGCGCTTAAGCTGAGGAGTATGTTCTTTAAAGACCGTCCCAATACCGCTGCAGCCGAGCGGAGGAAAACTTAAATTGACTGAGTGCTGTAAAATTGATATAGGAGGTTATTCTTATGAAAGATGCACTTGCGAAATGCAAGAAAAGTAGAGGCATTTTCTTTTGAATCGCTGTGCAATGTATGTCAGTGTACTTACTTAAGTTTCTCGGATTCGCTAAAAGCTTTTCGAAAAGCGAAAGAAGAAAAAGAAATATCATGATTGCGTTAAGCTGTTTTTTCTGGAATCAATCTTTTACTTCTTTCAACAATACACGTCACCTCAATTTCTTATCTTTGGGTGGTTTGAACATTCTCTCGGTAAAATGGACTTTGTTTAAAAAAAATCAACTTGGTCGTATTTATAAGACACATTCTGGAAATTTAGTCTTCTAAAAAATATAATAATTTAAACGAAAAGTTAATCAAAAAGATAAAAAGGAGCGAAGTTCTCCCCCAGTATAAAGGAACTTTAAGCATCCTGGACACATCATTAGATGTGGATATTCTTTTATGTGGTCCATCTTTGCTGTCGTCTGGACTGCTGTTTAAACACTGACGGACACTGCAACAGGATGGATCCTACGGTGTGCCATATTAGGAAGGATTTCCCAGGTATGCGTCATCAAGTCAAACGAGTCAAGCCGGTTTGAATACGCCTTCATTCTCAACTTCTCGTTGCCACCACAGAGAAACATTTGTGAATTTATTACGCAAGCACCACAGCCGAATCGCGTGCAAGGCATGTTGGGAAGATCAAACCATTTCCGGTTGCGCAGATCAAACATTTCTATGGTATCTAGCGAATAGTCACCAAGCGTCAGACCTCCCGCCACAACAAGCTTCTCACCCACGGCTACGACTGCGCATCGTCGACGTTTCGTGCTCATGGCGGGAAACGTTTCCCACTTCTCCGTTTTCAAGTTGAAACATTGGATTGTATCGGTTGGACGACCAAATTGGTCCCCACCCACCTGAAAATACAGTGATTGACACATTATTAGGTAATAAGATAACATGACCACTAATTCTATTGTTTTGACGATACAGAAGGGGCATCAGTCTGAGTTTAAGAGATGAAGTGTTATTATTTGTGAGGAGTCAATGCTAAGTTATCACTTCTTCCTATCCTGACCCTCCAGCCATTTGTTCGATTTCTTCCCGGGCTGATTTTTGACTAGGTCGTCGGGGCTTGCTCATTCCCATTTAATTTATTCCATTTTTACTGCGATTACATCGTCACATGATAAAATGATAATAACAATAATGATAATATTAATAAAAATAGTATTAATAATTACTGTATCAATTAATAAAACTGTAAGTCCATAACAAAGACGTGGGGTAGACTAGAAGGGAACTGACGAACCATGCGTGTTAGTCAACCCATTTGTATCCCTTGCTGATATGAGATAATGTGAAAAGATGTAAACAACTAGACAACACAACAAACTAATCAAAGACCCAATAGATCGAACACATGGACATCATAAATGTTTGAGATACTCTTGATAAATACAGTAAATGGTTTGAACCCGGGAGTAAACATGTAATAATGTAGTTTGATCGTCTAGGTGAGTGTAGTCCTAAGAAGGACTGTGGTCGGTAGAAGTGACTCACATTTCGATAACCTGAGCAGATGATTTCCTGATGATGACTTCCGCTCAGGTTGTCGAAACGTCAGTCACCACTACCGACAACAGTCTTTCTCAGGAATATACTCACCCGGAAGATCAAACTACACCGTTACACCCTTGTTAAAGCAATTAAAGGTAGTGGACGTAACTCAATCATTAAAGGAATGTTGACGGATGAGTTCCAATCGCTTGTTATAGACACAACAAATATCGTGAAGAGTTCTCTTTAGAGGAAAAAAGATATTCAACAGACCACAGCAAAGTAATCTCCCACGATAGCTCCCCCAGATTTTGTACGAGCTGTTGGCATAGCAGGAGCTTTCAGCCATCTTTCAGTCTTCACATCAAAAATTTCCATGGAGTCCAGCTCTCTGTTATTAAATCCCCCTGCTACTAGCAGACAAGCCCGCGATTTATCCATGGTTCCACAGGAGTATGAGCGAGCTGTGACCATCGGGGCCAGTTTCCTCCAAGCTCGTTCTTGCCAGTCAAACATTGACACATTATCAAGAGGCTTTTTCCTGTAATAGAGAAACGAAAACGTTTCTCAAAAAAACTTAGTTATAGCGTTTGTTCCAAAATGTTTATGATGTAAACATAGCAAGGATCCTAGTTTAGTTTCGATCACTGTGAACTTTTTTCTTGGTTTTACAGCTTATGGCCAGCCCGGAAAACTCGTTATATTCAATTTATTGTGACGATGTAAATGGCCTCTGTTACATCAGGAGGCCTAAAAAATCTGATTGTGTACCACGCTATAATTTCATTGTAAATGTATGTTTCACTGTAAAGCGACTTATCGCCAAATACAGACATGGATCAATGCCTAATCAGCCTCAAATATCTTTACCTTTTGTGTGTTGCTGTTCTGTTGGCTCATAAGTGCTATTTGGGTCAATTCAATCCAAGAGAATCGCAGGAAGTAAATCAAAGGTTACCCAAGTCGATTGTGGGGGACTTTACATGTGCACACAAGGACCATTTTGTTCTCTATAAAGAGTCTCTGGACGAAAGACAAAAAGGTTTACCGAGCCTCTTGCCTTACCTAACCCACGAAGCAAATCTCAGAATAAAAAACAACAGTGCAGTGACGTCACCTGTCAGATCCTCCAGCCACGAACACAGCACTCCCATAAGCCCCTGCAGTTAAACTGTCGCATTCGACTGGCATTGGAGGTAGATCAGCCCAGGTGTTTGTGTTCACACAGAATGCCTCTACTGTATCCAGCTCGAATCTCCCTTCGTATCCTCCACAGCATACTATGATGTCCCCTCTGAAGGTACTAAAGTCCGCTTTCTCAATCCCGTTAGCAATACCGTTGGATTTATCAGAATTCTTGATGATATGGAACTTAATCTCCTCAATCTCGTCAGCCATAGTCAGAAGAATTTTTATTTCCTGAAGGATGGAAGATTTATGTTACATCATGTACTCCCGTGTTAACCATATTTTAGAAAAAAAATCCACAACAAGGACAACACAAAAAGTCAAAAAAGAAAGAAAATAGGCAAACAAAACGCAAGGAGGACCGGTACGGCCTGGGTCAAAATACACAAAAACCTACCTACAGTTTAAAAACTTGTTAAAGCGCAAAAGAAATTGAATCCAGGTTGCAGCGTTCGATCGGGTGCAGTATAATTATTTCTTCTTTGAAGGCATCAATTGTGCTGTAAGCAAATCTGCAAATCTGATTGGTTCATGTGTCATGGACCAATCGCTGATATACTTAGCGATCTCTTTGCAAGTTCTGTACCCTTATGGTATTACAAGTTTAGGCTCATTCTTTTGTTTATATTCGCCTTCAGGCTAAATGTATCGAGCATTCGGGAAACTCAAACTTAAAAGTTTGTTTTTATCATTGCTCCAGCAGCAACTTTCTATGAAATTTCAAAATTAGTCCGTATATTTCACTGTAGCACAGCGGTCATAATGACTGCGGGGGTCAAGAGTAATCTTCACTACTTTGTTTAGGCAAAAAAAAAAAAACACTTTTAGCGACCCAATATCAGTGAAATATAGGGGTTGTATTCATTTTATGCAAATTTATCTCTACAGAATTTTAGACTCGAACTTTTCATGTTCTTCATGTAGAAGTCGTTCTTGTGAGTTGAGTGTTGAATAACTTCTGCATTTTCGCTTTCTGTACTATTTCTGTGCTTGTTCCCCTTGTACTCTTGCCTCTGAGAGACCTGAATTTTTTTTAATCTTGAACACAACGCTGAAGCCCTAAAAAAATGAGTAATTTGCAATTGGCGATGTTTTCCATGTGTTAATACATTAATCAGGAACTGAACCCTGACCGCCTCATTTCAGAAACAGTTGGAAGTTTGTCTAAATTGTTCACGATAAAACGAACAAACCTATTCAGTCTGCAATTTACATGATTACCAAATATAACAGACGTACGGTACATGAGTAGTGTAAGTACACATTACCCTGAAAAAGAAAGACTGGCATTCGAATATAACAAACCACTCAGACAAACAATACTTCTCTTGACCTCAATACAAGAAGTTTCCATGCATTACAATAAAGCCAAGAAATTCCTTATTCTTCTTTTCAACTGCGGTAGAGGAACTAATGATCTCCCTACAGTTATGGATGCCTGTATGTTGTTATAATGAACATGGGGAATGTTTGCAGAAGGCTCAACTCAAGGGAGGGTTGATCCAAAGCGATTAAATATCCGCGAGGCCATAGATTGTTTAATATCAACAGAACACAATGACTTGAATTAACTTTGCGTGTCACTGAACAGAATAACGAAATGTATATAAACCTTACATCGTTAACAGTAGCACACTGAAACTTCAGGCCGCAGAGGAAACGCAAGTGTCGCCCTATTCCAGTTATTTCTTCTATTATGGTTTATGCTAATCCAGAGGATGTCGTCTCAAATTAGAATTTCCTTTTAAAACAGCCCCTTTACCCTTGACCACCCAAGCCTGTTTAAAAAGCCACTACTGGGTATCAAAACGAGAAATTAAGCGGAAAACACCGGAATTTTTCAATAAAAGATTGTTTCTTGCAAATTAATCCTCCGAACGAAACGGTAATAAAAAAAAAGTAATGATGGTTTTCTGTGTTTAATAAAGAAGAATATAAACCAAAGGAAAAAAGGTCAGCAGGTCAGCTTTTTTACGGTACATTTGCCAAAGAAACAAAATTTAAGCACCATAATTTTCTAAATCGACGAACGACTGCACGTTTCATCGAGAATGCAAGTTCGCGCGTCCACGATCACTTGGTGAGAAGAATCGAGGAGTGGAGCACCACACAAAGAATTTAATTTAAGCTTTGCCTGACAATTCAAGGACGCCTGAATGTATAGCGAACAAGATATTTCAACTTGGACCGAATGTAACTTCATGTACTCGATTAGTGTCCGAGGCAAGCGATAAGATAATTGTGGAGTCAAGTAACAGCAAGATTTCTAAGTACCTACCTCGGTTTCGTCGACCAAGCGGCTTCAACGACAGGATTTAATTTATTCTTGACGCTGTGTCTCTGGGCCAAAATAAATTTCCTAGAACCTGTCGATAGGTCGCAAAATTTCAAGGTATAAACAATATCACCTTTCTTTCACTTGCGGGATGGCCTTGAAATTAAACCAAATCGATCAAGTTAACGCGGATGTTATCGTACTATCGTTTAAGCCAGTACACTCATATCATTACCTTATGCTCAAAGCTTCGCTAGTAGACAAACTCGAAATTCGACTTCCACTTTTCGATGATTTGCATGAAAAGCGGGTTAAAATTGCCTAATGTACGTGAATTTGCATAACCAAGACTTTGAAAGAACTCACGCTTTTGTGTACATTTCAAAATGGAAATATCATTAACATGAAGCAAATGCCCGCAAAAGATCCTTTTTTTGTTTGCGCAAGTTCTTTTATATTGACAAAATCGGAAGAAAATGTCACAGCATGTTATCACGCAATAAAATTAAAATATCAAAGGTAAATTTATGTTATCGCGCGTAAAGAAACTGTTACATGTGATTCACGGAAAGAAGAAGCGTTTTATTCTTTGCTAGACTTCCCTTTTATGAGTGAAACGGAGCATTTGAATTTTTCTCGTAAAATATCGTACCTAAGCATATTTTCAAGATCAGGGAAAGATTCTGAAAAGCAGAAAAAAGACCTTTCAGATATTGTGCTCATGCTGACGTGATCAAAATAAAACTATCTATATCGTCCTCACGTTCCTCGTTCCACGTAGCATTTTTGAGAGGTGATTGAGGAGTTTTCATTTTGCAAACTGTTCAGATTTAAAATCCTGCTGGTTAATCGGAAGATTAGGGTAAAACGTGCAAAAAAAAACTATTTTTTTCCGAATTTACCATTTCCTCCGCACGGTCTAATCTCTCTCCTGAGGCCCTAAGTATCCATCAATCAAACGAAGAGGCCTTCGACTTAACTCAAGTTAAACAGCTTTTTGCCACTCGAACCTTTTGTCATTAGTTAGGAAGAATAAAAGTGATTTCTATCAACTAGAGGACTTCTGAAAGTCTGTTTTTGTTATGGCTTTGTGAATTCGTCCCCTCCTTTAAAAGAAATCAATTTGTCTGTGGAAAGAAGGGCGGATGAACGCAGGTTACAAACCTTTGATCTATAAAGAGTCTTTTTTGATGATCGCTTCTACTTTTCACTCCCCAATTCCCGATGTATATTGGTAACATAGTTAGTAGAGGAGACTACTAACTATGTTGGTAAGTTAAAAATTGTTTTACCAAAGGTATTTTAGATACGTATGTAGTATATGAGCTTTCCAGTCTATTTGGAATGTGAGTTTACTCTTCCATCATAACGACCTTTCTTACAGGATTTAGGAAAGTTAAGTTCTGTGGAAACGATTACAGCATATTTGCGTTCATGAAGGTCGGGTGACATTGACGGATGACACAGTTCATTCAGACGTGGGGCTCATTTCAAATGCGATAGAAAATCTGATACTTGTCGGAGAAGGAAACACTTGCTGAGCTATAAGTTGACCGTTGTACCTGGACACAGAATTTCCTCCTGATGATCTAACTGAACCGTTGGATAGGCTTTAAAAATCTATTTCATCTGCATATTTCGTCTATTTCCGTGCATAGGGAGCTGTGACAAAAAACACACTCCAGTGTCACGCAAGTTACACCAGACACAAAGGTCACTCCTAAATCCAAAGACCAAAAAATAATGGATAATTGAGGAGGAAACAGAAGTTGCTTTTTTTGTTGAAGTGATCATTTGAAAAGAAAAACGTTTACAAACATTAAACCAAAACAACGCCAAACAAAAAAGGCTCTAGAAGTTAGAGATGAATGGCGTCGCTGGAAGGAATGGAGACCATTTCCATATGGCTTCGTTTCCGCGCTCGCTTCTGTGGTGATCTCGATATGCGGAAACTTAACTGTGTACGATAACCGAAAGAATACACAGGATACCAGAAATTAGAACGTTACCTTTCAGTGGCTCTAAGCTTTCTTTGCTTTGAATTATTCCTAATGTTGATTAGATAGTGTCCCAGTGGGAAATGAAACAAGCGTTACGCTCCATAACCTTGTGGAACAGAACCGCCCAAAATAAACATCTCCTCAGTCATTTAAATAGAGCTGATCATAGATTTCCTCTATAAAATGCCAAGTTATCGATAATCCTTTGTATCGCTATGAGATCATTGTCTGTAAACCTCTCTAAGAAGGAACAAGTTTCCACGAGATGTAGACAGGAAACAATTTGGGAGCTGTAAAGATGGTAACTTTGAAATCTGTTTCATGACAGCTCGGTACCCAAACATCTTACATATTGAAATCTCCGCGGAAAAATCATAAAAATACTAGAGTAAAGAGATCTGTCGCAAACATCTTATATTACCTCACTTACCACTGAATACTGCTGGCAGATTTTTGTCAGGAAACTTCGACTGTGCGAATATCACTTTTGCGAGGAGGTTCTGTGCTGGTTATTATCCAGTTACCTTGGTTTGTATTTAAATCTGTTTTGTTTCAGTGTCTTATTTCCAGTGTTGATGATTTCCTGATGTTCCTCTTCTGCAGATGTGTGATTGTTGTGAAATTCTGTCCACTACCGCAATTTTTCTCGCGTGAAATCTCAGGAAAACGTACGGCAGGGAAACAAAAATGAAGTGATTTAGAGATTGCTGTTGCAAAAATTAACCCAGAGATGCCAAGAATTGATTGATGTTTGACATTCAATGACCCTGATGTACCAGAGATAATCATTCGACGATCTGTCCAATAGATCTGTCAAATCCCTTTCGCTTGGTCATGTAGTTATACTGTACTCAAGTTCCTATCGATCAACTTCCTCCTCAGGGTCTCATCCCCTCTCCTCCTTTCCTGGCCACAGATAGAAAGAGTTGCACACTGCTTACTACATTAAAATATTAAAAAAAAAGAATGAAATCTTGTGCTTGCACTGGTGGTTCAGTGGTAGAATTCTCGCCTGCCACGCGGGAGGCCCGGGTTCGATTCCCGGCCAGTGCATGATATAATCGTTTTTTTGTTTTGTTTCGCATACATAGTTCATCTATATATATCACTATTTATATATAAGAATTACTTTCTATTATGCAATATCTTCCTCAGCCAATAAATGAAATCGATGAGGACCGAGAACAGGCAGTCTGCAATCAGCTGAACTTTTGCTTTTTTAGCGACGTCATTTAGGGAAAAGGAGAAGACAGGACAGCAGTTCAGCCCTCTGCAGTCTTAATAAGTGATTTTGGAGGAAATTATGGAACGACTCTCTTCTGCTTGTAATAAGGTGAAGGGGCAATTGACAAGTAAACTAAACTTGTCACTAGGAAAGAAATATTGGTATCAAAGAAGTGTTAGTTACAATGGGAAGGAAAATTCTGAGAGAAACTAGAAAAAGAGATTCTGCCACTTGAGAAGTTATTGACTCTTGATACTGTTGGTTCTTTCATTTAATTTTTCGTAAGGATAGGCTTGAAACTCTTTCAAAGTGAATTGTTCTAACCACGCACAAAAAAGGACCCAAAAATAGGAATAAAAAGATGAATGAGAAAATACAATGTAGATGAAATACATATTCATTATTAGACAAAAAAAGGTGAAGCATTTTACAGAGTATGCTTATGTTGACCTGTTTATTAATTACATTGAAATAGTAAATCAGTAGTATATCAAAAATGATAAATAAAATTACAAACTATCATTATCTTGATCCATATAAGTTCGAGTAAAGTGGACTAAAATCACACTGTCAAATAAATAATGATACAATTATAAAAATAATAGAAATAATATAAATAATGATAATAATAATAAACTTTAATTAAAGATGTTATGATACATAAGAGTATAAAAACTGATGAACCAAAGCATCATGTGAGCAAGTGTTGAGAAACTTCGTCAAGTATTACCAAATAAAGCATTAAACTATTAAAAGTATTGTATTGGATATCAGTCAGGTAAAAGACCCTTAGGATCTTATATGTGGCAAGGATACGGCTAAATGGAGAAACTTCATTGTTGCCAAAGATTCCAAGGGAGGAGGTGAAAGACTTAAGTTAGGAATCTTTTTACCTTGACTATCAACTGCACAAACCCAATTTACCAAAAAAACATGGTGATTCACTTTTTCTTAACACTGCTCCAGCTGCAATAAATACCCCAAATGGTTCCCCACTAAAGTAACTGATTGACAGAAATTCATAGCTTTGGGTTAGTTAATGAAAGCACAGTTATCTCTCCTACAGAGCCAATTCTCAAAGGTACAGCAGCAAAACATGTTCCTGAAGTAACATAAACATAACTTTCTTTATATTTATAAAGTCCAGCAAAAAATGGATTGAAAAAATATATCAGTATGTTCATGGGAAAGAACTGTCCTCCATGAGTGTGCCCTGACAATATCAAATCAATGTCCTGATACTGGTCCAATGCTTGCTGGGCAGCCTTTGGTTGGTGTGCCAAGAGAACTGTGAGAAACCTGCTGGATCTGCCATTTAGGGCTTGTGACAACTTCATACCATGGTTCTGATACCTGCATTTATAAAATTAAATTTTGGTAAAGTTAGAATTGGCTTTACTAAAATGACACAAAAAATGAAATACGAATAGTCATCCACCATCAATCATTATGTTTTCCATAATTTTACTTTAGAATTTCACGGATTTCTTTCTTCCACTTCTACACTGATTGGTCCTATAAGACTGTTATGACTTTTAATCTCACTTCACTTAACTAAGAATTTCAAAGAAATCAAGTAAGAGGTTAATACACTCTTATAATCATGGGAAGGGGGGAAGTGGGGTGAGATTTTTTATCAATTATGACCAAAGGTTTGAAACAATTAAACAATAATGCCCTGAATCACACAACAAGGTTGTGAGAATAAAGAAAATGATCAGAAATTAAAGAAGCTCCTCTCCTTGTCAGCACCTCGGAGAACAGTGCAGAGAATATGCATTTTGATGTTAGAGAGTAAAGGGTAAGAATGTCACCTCATACGGTCAGCATCTGGATCATCTACTCCAGCAAGATATAATTTGTCTCCAGGACTGGCTTTGTTTGAAATAACAACATGTGAGTTGTGAAGAGGTTGAATTCCAAGTTGTTTGAGTTCCTCAAGCCATGCATCAGTATCTCCAGTGTAATATTCATGATTTCCTACCAATAATTAAAACAAACACTCAATGACTACTCAACTTTCATGCTTAGGAACCAACTAAGGTTAAGAACTAGCCTAACAGGTATCATATCACAGTTACTACAAAAAAAAATTATCAAGAAAAACTGCCATAGTTTTAAAAAGTTTGTTCTCTCAGGCAATAGATTTCATATCTGCCATATGGACACTAGAGGCATTATATATTTCAGAGGACCTACGGACAACAAGCTAGTGAACTCTACAAGCCATGTGCAAATACTTGGCAGCAGTATATGTTTATTTTTCAATTCATAGGTAGTGGTGTCATCAGATCTAAAAGCTTAGTCCAGTGTCCTTTCTCCCTGTGCAAATACATCCCCTCTTAATGCTAATCAATCATATTCCCCCCTCAATAATCGATCAACACACAGCAACAGAGTGCCAACGTCTACATACCTGTAACAAAGTATGATCCGTACTTTGATCTCAGCTTCTTGAGAGGAAATACAACTTTTTTCAAGTTTGCCACGGTAGAATCCACCAGATCTCCTGTAATGACGATGATATCCGGCTTCATAGCAGATACCATCTTCACAACTCTTTCGAGAGTATCTAATCCAACCAAAGGCCCGAGGTGAATATCTGAGAGTTGTACTACCGTAGTACCATCAAAAGATGCTGGTAGTTTAGAAAGAGGAACAGTAACCCGTCTTATTTTTGGCCCTTTGTAAGCCGTTGTTAACCCTTGTATGCAAAGAAGTAAAGAAAAAGTTGTAGCTATTATGGTTTTCCACTTGTCAGGATTGGGAATTCTAAAGCTGCACATTCGTAACAATCCAAAAACAACGCTTAGTACCAATAAGTTAAAGAAAATCAAAATAAGAAGACCTAGACACGTAAATGCCAGCATGTTGATGAAGTAAGGCTCCACACTGATAAGCATTCGACCAATGACAAAACTGAAGAAAGCAAGCCCAAGAAAAGTAGCGAGAACAACGTACAAAATCCAGTGAGTGAAGACTAACACTCTTGAGTTCGAATGCCGGTTCGGAAGTAACACAGTTAGATTAATCCAAACATAACGCGAAATAGCGCCAAGTACCAAACAAAATACTAAAAGAAATTGAACTCTGAAAAGGATCATCTTCTTCTTTGGTTCCAGATCAATCACTACAGTTACAGCTATTGCTATAGCCAACAACATTGCGATTCCTCCAAACACACGGTAAATCCTCATGTCCGCCATGATTAGATTCGTGCTTCATACCCAGTTTTCCTCGATTACTTCTCCTCCTGGACTCGATATGTTTTGTGATTTTTTTAAATTTATTAAACTTACAATGCATATGGTATATCATGAACAAGAACAATAATATTAGTTTAAGTATTTACGAAAAGTTGAGATTGTAGTATTGTCTGGAGTGAGATGATGTGATAGACGCTTCTTATTCAGGGTAGCCCATTCAGCTACGTGGCTGGTATTTAGAGGGCCCCTGATATTAAAACTAACAATACAGTAGTAGAAATTACAAATAACATATAAAAACTAAAAGCTCATTAAGGTACAATGAAATATTAAAAAAAATTGCATGCAGTCCTTCAGGGAAAAAGTTTAAAAATAGTAGTTACTAAAACTTGTAAATTTTAATCCGATGCTTAGAATTCTGCAAGGACTCAATTTGCTTAATGGTTTGAGGCAAATTAAATAAGGTTGGTTGTGAACATCTAAATCTTCTCTTTCCCAAGCTTAGCTTTGGTGTGGGCAGATGAATATCGTCCTTCCTTCTTGTATCATATGACTGGAATTGGTTATTCTTGATAAAATAATCACTGAGGTACTCTGGCACTAGGTTATTTAAACATTTCAAAACTATAATAAATTTGATCTTTTTCTTGGAACAGTTTCCAAGTCAGACAAGCCTAACGCCTCGACAGCCTAGTCAGAGCTATCTCTTCTGATAATGATATGATAGAGCGAGCAGTTCAAGTGCACCTGGCCTCATTCCTCACCAAAAATGCCGTTCTGTCTGAACACCAATCAGGGTTTCGCAAAAGTCATTCCACAAAAACTGCTGTTCCGAATCTTTCAGGCTACATCTTAGAACGCATGGACAAACAGATAATGACAGGGGCTGTCTTAAAGAAGGCATGTCACCTCGTAAATTACCAGTGCCTCCTAAACAAATAGAGCACTATGGAGTCCGAGGTTTGGGTCATGACTTGTTCAAGAATTACCTCCGAGGCATTACTCACACTCAAGGAGTAAAGTACGAGTGCAACTTATCATCCAGTCCAACACTACTGTTACAATAACATTTCTTTTCTGGAAGTACGAAGTATAAACTCAAAAATACCTCATCGATGTAATTGAAGTGTTTAATAAGAAATAAGACGAAGGAAATCTGCTGCTTGATTTCTTAATGCACACTGAGAACTTTCGCAAGGCGGCCGACAAACAGCTTGTCAGAGGGAACGCTTCAATTGATCAATGAATGATTTGACAACTGAAAACAATGGGAAACGTCTCCGAAAAAAATTGATTCGCTTGTTCTCGTTTATGAGCGGAACAGTGTAGTTTTGTTCAATATATCTTTGGGATTGTTCAAGTTAGTGGGGTGGGGTTGGGGTTAACTTGGTTCGAGTCTGCAGAGTTCCACTGTATCGCCAAAAAGAATGATAGTAATATAAATATTTCTCAAAAATACTGAAATAGCAATATCATTTGATTTGTACAACTCACAAAAGACCCAAGCAAGGTTTTAAATCTCTTTCAAGGCCTGCTTTTGTAAGTATAATGTTTACTAAGAGATAAGTAAAGTTCTTATTCCACACAAATATTGCAAGTCAGTTGGCACATTAGACCCCGTGAAAAGTAGCAAATGGAGTTTCTTGCATGTTAACCTATCACATTTTTGTGTGAAGGGACAAACCCATTTGTTAACGATCCTTTTAAATACCTTTTTTGGCCATAACCAGAGCAGCAATTGTTTGAAATCATATGTTCTGTTTTCTGCCATTTATGAGTGTGCGGATAGTATAGTAAACTGTCTCTAACCATCTTGCCAATGAGGTCTTTAATTTCCAAAATCTTGCCATCAAGTTCTTGAATTTTTAAAATCCCTTCAGCTTAGCTTAGGTTACTGGCTATTTTTTGTAAGCAGAAGAGAGAGTTTGTGATTCACAATTCAGGTTATTGCATTGTGAAAAAATTGATGATACTTAGGCTAGGTTTATTACTAATGTAATTCACCACAATGAAAATCCAAAAATTTTAATATAATTTAAACTGCCACTCTTGAAGCAAACCTTAACCAACAATATTGTTGAAAACTTATTGATCTATGAGATCAAAACTGGATCGAATCTATGAGTAACTGAAAACTACATGTTTATATTATAAATAACTCCACCACACTGAACCAACAGTTAAATCCACAATAGTTTTAGTTACTTTTTACTTGTTCTCATATTTCTGGCACCATTTCACCCAGTGAAATAACACAAATTTTTAAATTTGTAATGCTTTATTTCAATCATATAAATTTACTTTTTTAATTTAACTTAAGGTTATCAAAATAATGAAATACCCTAAATTATATGATTGGATATGCTATATCTTTAGATATCACTGAAAACTTTATCAAAAACCTTATTTAAATTTATGTGGTCAGTTCATACTTTTGATACCCATATTCCTTAAAGGATTTAGCCAATATTAGTATTTTATACATTAAATAAATCCAAAAAATGTGATATGTTTGAAAATCAAAAGCCTTTGAAATACCTTCTGTAACTCATAAAACATATATTGAGAATTTAATGCAGTCCTTTTTCATCTACACAAGATTTTCAGTATAACTGAACTAACTATCCTAGAGAGAAAGAATTAAAATCAGAGCATTATTTGGTTTACGTGTATGACATAACAACTGAAATAAGTTATCTAAGACCCATAACATGAGATTACATAAATTTAAAAGCACTTTAGTGGACTAGTTTTTAATCAATCAAACTAACTCAGACTAACATTTTTTCCAATACTGCAAGGCAATTATCAAAATTTGACAAAGGAGTAGAAAAATTCCCTGCAATTCTTCAATGCTTAAGTGCTACTTTCAATGATCACTGATCTGAGCCAGCTCACTGAAAGATCAACATTATCAACTTTTAAACCATTGCACATGATCGCACTTGATCAAGGAATCTGCAAATTGTTCAAATCTCATCATGATGTTTCAAATCTTGGAGAACAGATCCTAAACAAACCATTTAAACTAGAAATAATTGGTATGTTTGTGTTGGAAACTTCCACATCAAAAAGGATAGCAAGTGTACTAAAAAGGACTAAAATTGTACTTGTAAAATGGGCCAGTAGTTAATAATTAGCAGTTGCCATATGTTTCCTTTAAGGGACATGAAAACTTTTGATTCCAACAATGCAAATAGTTTTCCCATTCTATCCTCAAAGGAGCAAAAGTTATCAAGACTGCTGTCCATGCTTAAAAAAAGAATGCCCCGTTTGCTGTGCCAAATTTTCAGTTGAACCAGACTTTTGGGACTCTTCAGGAATCAGTTTTTCAATCATTTTGCGAGGAAAGTTACAGAAAGCTGTTCTGGCTGCTGCAGGTGTTGGTAGTGACCTTATTATTGACCATGTGTTTGTGGCCACATCATAACATTCCACAGAGCTGGTGGCTAATCCATTCCCACTCCATCCACCACAAACATAGATCTTACGATTCAACACAGCCACACCTGCTTGATAACGTGGAGCACTCAGCGATGCCATAAAATTCCATACATTGTCATCAAGATCTAGGGCTTCACATGTTGGCATGAATGTGTTACCATGGTAGCCACCAATAACATAAATCTTGTTGTCAACAACAGCAGCCATAGCATCTTCCCGTCGTTCTATGATTGGAGCCACAACTGAGGATGATGTTAATAAACAAAGACTTTTAAATATAAAGATACCTGGGACTTTTAAGATATACTCATTGTTTATGAGGTATTTCATGTGCTATTTTCTTTAAGTATTGTTCAATGTAGTGTACCATGAATTGGACTAGTTTAGTTAAAAGTTGCCAGATCAATATCAGTATCTTGGCAAATGTGCACATACCCCTCCCCTCACCAAACATTTATCCTAGCTTGATATCAGTTGACTGTTGTTGGGGTAGGGGAGGGGCAGTTGAGCTGTTGCTCAGATATTGACATTGATCCAAGTTTCCAGATGCCCTTTTAAAATACACTTACTATGTAAAATTGTACAATAGTACTATAAGTTTTTTGCATTTGCAGGTTGTTTGGTAGCATGTTACAGGGCCTATTTCATAGTTAACCCCAGCAACTTCTTACCTCCTAAAGACCAAACATCAGTGCCTGGATTATACATTTCCACAGAACTCAAGTAATTATTTCCATCATAGCCACTTATGACGTAGATACAATGACCTTCCGTCACAACACAGGCACCATCACGCTGGTTGTTCATTGGTGCCACAAACCTCCACTCATCTTTCTTTGGATCATAACATTCCACGGTTCTTCTCATGAAAAAAATATATAAAAGTGAGATTACAAGAAAAGGGTTGGTCACCATGCTAAGTATGGTTTGATTAGGCTTGAATAACACTGTAGTCAGTTTCATGGCTTATTACTTCCTACAGTACGTATCTCCTTCTAAGTTGAAAACGTACAAAATTCAAAATGGAAACCAATAAGTACTCTAAAATTTACAAATTAAAAACTGTATTTTGTATGAGAACATGACCTCACCCAAATTTGTCTAGGGGTGGGTAGAGGGTAAAAGGGCAAGCTTGATGCTTTGAATGAAGGCTTATTACAGGGAGGAGGCCTATCAGAACATTTACTGTTAAGTAATTGTATCTAAATATAAGGCTTGAGTTTATATTGTTTTCTTCTGGACTTCTTCGGTTGGGTTACTCCCCAGACACATGTATTTCTGGGCCAGCTTATAGAACAACTTCATTTGCACCAAGCCTTACCGTATGGGTGATTTCCCATCATATCCACCAACAGCATAAAGAAGTCCATTCAGAGCTACCAAACCAATATTACTGCGAGGCACATTCATTGGTGCTGTGAGATTCCATTCATTAAGATCTGGATCATAACATTCGCATGTATTCATTCTCTTCCACTCTTTACTTCCACCCACTATATACACAAATTTGCCCATGGATTCAAGACCTGCACAGTGCCGTGTACTTGGGCGTGAGATGTTGTGCCATGCATCACTCTCTGCTTCATAAATAGCACATGTTGGTCCTGCAACTGTCAGAAGAACACTAACTGTTCGCAAACATCTTCTAGGGATTTGCCATTTGAAAGGCTCAGTTTCTGTCATTGATTCAGCTAATTTTGTGGGAGAGTAGATGTATTGTCTAGCTTTAGAAATGATTTCCTGAACCTCTGGGTTTTCTGTAACCAAATCATCAGTGGCAATAATTTCATCAAAGTATTCAGGATTAACTTGAGGGAGACGAATCTTTTCCAAAAGTGACGGAAAATGCTTCACCCGTTCCTCTCGATTGTGTTCCACCCATTTCAGTAACAGTTCGTACAAGTCTTGCTCACGTGTTATTACAATTTCATCATCAATCAAAAGATCGCTCAGATCTGAAGCAGGCAGCATCAAAAACTCTTCACAATTCGCA